GGGAATAAGAGCCTGCAAGCGCCACAATCCGCTTCAGAAGTGAAAGCTCTTGAGCAGAAGCGCTTTAAGCCAAAGGTTCGGTTGTGTGTTTGCGGGAATTTTGAGGAGGTGAAGCCTGAAATGAAAGATGCCAACGCGGCGGAGACAGTTCCAGTGGAGATCTTACGCTTGATGCTGACGTTGCTGGCAACTCACCTTTCGTGGAGCGCTTTGTCTCTCGACATCAGTGCTGCCTTTCTCAATGCGGTGCTGACAGGAAAAGAAGTTATCTTGATGCAGCCGCCAAAATCTTTGGTGAAGCTTGGACTGATCCCTGAAGGAGTGTGGCTGAGAGCCATGCGTGCAATATATGGACTACGCCAGTCGCCGGCGAGATGGGAAGAGCTTCGTGACTCCATCTTGGACGGAGCAGTTCTTGAAGCAGCTGCAGGGGATCTTCTTCCTACATTGGTGATTCAGGCCATGAAAGGGATTGGCGGCGTTTTCTTAATAACAACTCGTGATGCTCAACAGCTTGTTGCAGTCGCATGCGTTTTTGTTGACGACGTTCTCGCTATTGGCGAGACAGAAGCGATCCTGAGAATTGGAGAGTTCGTCTTGAAATCCTGGAAAGGGAGGTTGCAGGGAATGTTGTCTCGTGAACCGACTCAAGCGTGGAAGCGTGGAACACTTGAAGTAAAGGCAAAGTCTGAGTTGGTCTTTGTTGGCATTCAGATGTTTTTCCACAATGGGGGAGTGGCTATGTCACAACAGCGTTGGGTTGTCAAGCAGTTGAACGTGAGGGGTTACCTACACTTGAGTGGCAGTCCGTGTTTGCCGCAAGTTGAAGAGGGAAAGGTCTCAAAGGGAGATGAAAAGCAATGTGATCCAAAACTTCTTAAGCAAGCGCAGCGCGAACTTGGCACGTTGATGTGGTTGGCGACCAAGACAAGACCCGACATTGCAGCAACATGTGGCATTCTTTCGACGATGATTGTCTTGAGACCAGACATGGTGCTTCAAAAGGTCGTTGGCATGTGGAAATATATCCGACACACCATGTTTTTTGGTATTTGGTTTGCGCCTAACTCTGGTGGAAGTTTGTCTCTTGAGTCGGATGCATCGTTCGGAAGTGGAGCCTCGCGCTCTCGGTCAGGTTACCTCTTGCGTTGGGGCGGCAACACCTTGATGTATAAATCGATTCGACAAACTCTTACAGCATTTTCCACATGCGAAGCGGAAACCGGGGCAATGGCCGATGCCATAGCTGACATGTTGCGGATGGAAAGCTATGTCACGCAAGTTGGAGAGGTGAGTGAGAAGCTGGCCATGGGCGACAATGCAGCATCTATTGCATCCTTGACAAAACCACGTTTTCAGGAGACGCTTTGGCGGACCAGGCACTATGGGCTTCGTGCGTCATGGGTGCGAGATGTTTTGAAAGAGTCAAACATTGCAGTTTCGCACAAGCCTGGCTCCGAGCTCACAGCCGACCTTCTTACCAAAACTCTTCCACGGTTGAAGTTGGAGCAATTCCGCAAAGCCATTGGTGTTTGCAGAGTACATGATGACAATCTACAACTTAGCTGAGACACGTTTTTGGCACTACGAAGACATCGGGAACCGTTTGCAATCGAAGCACTTGCATGGGTCCTATACCTGTGGCTTATCTGATGCAGCTGAGTCTCTCATGAGTTTTTACTGCTGCTCGTTGGTGAGCCCCTTTTGACTGCTATTGTATAATACAAGCGCAGATTTGCATGAGCACACCTTTGGAGCGTCCACTGACTAGTACGGGGTGTAATTCATTGTGATGAGCTGCTGTAGTCTAAAAGCCCACTGGGGAAAAAACTGAATAAAGCACCTCGAAAGAAGAAAAGGCTCCGAGGCCTGGCCATCACGGGGGCATGGCAGTAACGCAGGACCCAAGGCCCTACAGCAGCGCGTAAGTGTTTGATAGATGCTAGCTCTCTTCAACGTTTTGAGCACTCTCCAGGCAACTTGACCTGTCGTGTGAGGAGGAGTGTGTTTGTAGAGAGCATTGACAGCAGCTGTGCAAGATCAGTTGAAGAATGTGGCAGACTGATTGCTGCATGACCCCTGCGCAAGGATGACTCTTTGCTTTTGCAGGAACGATACTTGAGAAGATTAGCATCGCCACTACATGTGGCTCAAGATGACACAGCAAAATCGAGAAGTGACTCGAGTGACGAGGTTGTCTGGTTTTGGTGAGGGTGTTGAGTCTAGGACCCCGGTTGCCCGGTACTCTAGACCCGAACCCTGTCCTGGAGCCCGCTGTTACTCCCTAGGCCCTAACCCAGGTCGTTTCGGGGGCTTAAGTCGGATGTATGGGGATAAGTGATGCTTCCGTACTCCTCTCTTGATGATGTTCCTCACCAGTTCAAACAGCAGCAGCAGCAACAACAACAACAGCAGCTGCAGATGAGTCCTGCCTATAGCATAGTCACGGACCGCTTGAGCCCAGAACAACCAAGCACACAATCACAAAATCAATCCACTTACTGCCCAAGATGACGAGGAAGCTTGGAGCGACCACAGCGAGCTTTGCTTCTTATCGCCCGCGCTCTTCCGCAAGGGCATTGCAGAGGCCTGCTTGTGGAGGGACTCCTTGGTCCCCAGAATTCCTTGCTTGAGGTGCAGCTTCCTATGGTGTCCAGGCAAAGTTTGGGGAATTTGTGGGATTTCGTGGGCTGCGAGAGATTCTTAAATGGCGTTGAAGCTCGCAAAGCCTGCACAGGTGATTGCCAAGAGGCCTGCCCGTGGCTGGACCGTGGTCGTTATTGGCGAGGGAAGCAGCGGCTTCCTGGACGAAGAGTTTGGACCTTGAGGTTTTAAGTGTTTAGGGTTTAGGGTTCAGGGTTCAGGGTTTAGGGTTTAGGGTTTGGGGTTTAGGGCTTAGGGTTTAGGGTGTAGGGTTTAGGGGAGGTTAACGGTGGTGAGTTTTGGTGGTTGCTGTAGGAGTCTTGGGAGGCTCGGCCAGTTGCATGGACAAGTTCAGAGCAGTCCCAATTGGGAGTAGTTGTGGTGTTGTCGTCGGTATTGCTGTGCGAGCATGTTCTGTCGCCTCATCTTCTCTTCTCGAAGCTTTGTTGTTGTGAGGGAAGACCGGGGGCTGTGGCTTTGCAAGCTTGCGACACGAACCCCAAGCCCGAGCTTTCGATCGTTTAGTTGTACTAGCACCGCACACTCTGAGTCCTGTCGACCTCGGCAATCCCCTTCGCAAGCCCTGACTCGCAAGTCTCCCAATTGGTCCTTACGATCCTTACGCTACAGACCAGCAAAGATGTTTAGCACCCTAAACCCTAAACCCTCAACCCTCAACCCTCAACCCTCAACCCTCAACCCTCAACCCTCAACCCTCAACCCTCAACCCTCAACCCTCAACCCTCAACCCTCAACCTCAACCCCTAACCCTAACCCTAAACCCTAAACCCTAAACCCTAAACCCTAAACCCTCAACCCTCAACCCTCAACCCTCAACCCTAAACCCTCAACCCTCAACCCTCAACCCTAAACCCTAAACCCTAACCCCAAAGCTGGTCTCCAGAGGCGACGCCCAAGCACACCAGCTGCGACAGTGGCTGTGTGGCTCGACCCCCCTTACAGCTTGGGAGATCTTGGGAGCTGCCGTCGCCTTCCCTTGGCTTTCAGGGTTTAGGTCAGGGCAATTTTTTCCAAAGGTTCATTGCTTCTGCGTGCGCATCCGCACAAGCTGAATAAGAACTCCGTCAACCGAAGCCCTTTCCGTTCAGAGCCCAACTAAGGCACCAAACAGACTAAGCGCTGAGCCTGCAGATGATTCCTCAAACTCTACTTCTACTTGCGCATTGAGTTTGTTTATGAACGTTTAAACCACTCCGTACCCAATGCAGCGCACTCTCTACGCCCACCATCGTCAATGCTCTTCCATTTTCACAACCTTCGTTGTCATCGTCATCGTCATTTGAGGTCGGCGTGGGCTCTGTGGCTCGACGGGGGCATTGGTGGCAGCCGTGGAACGATTGCCGTGCAGCTTGCAGGCAGCTCGGAGCAGCAGGGACGCCCATTTCGGCCATTCTAGCAGCTCATGACTATGACAGTTTCGGACTTTGAGGCTCGGGAGTTCGCGTGGCGTCTACGGGGCTTGAGTTTGAGGCTTGTGGCTGTACCATTGGGCTGACGGGTTTCGGGCTTAAGCGGCTGAAGGCAGCATAAAATGGCCGTCTAGGGTTTAGGGTTTAGGGTTTAGGGTTTAGGGTTTAGGGTTTAGGGTTTAGGGTTTAGGGTTTAGGGTTTAGGGTTTAGGGGATGCATGAGCCATGAGTGGCGGATTGAACGCGCAGTTCACGTGGGCATGGGTTTGGCCATGTTACGGCGCGCGTGCGGAGCTGCGACGTACTCGGTTCCCTGCAGTATAGCACTTTTTTGTTGGGATCATCTCTGAAAGTCAGAATTCGCGGGGTGGACACTGCATCTCAGCTACAACTGCACAAGAGGTCCAGAACATTTTGGCCCGGGCATGCCTACTAACGAAAAAGTGTCAAAGGAAAGTCCGGCAGATCCTCTTCGTGTCCGTCGCTCTTCCCAAAACGAAGCGAAAGCAGTGTGCCACAATCGGTGCCATGCGCGAAAGCTACACATGGCGCCATCACGGCGCTCTGCGTTCTGCGCAAGCGTGTTCGTGTTGCAGCACCTTCACTTACCAGGTTGGGCTATTATACCCTAGGATGCCTTACAAGGCCCTTTGTAGGGTTCATTATGGGTATTATAAGGCCTAATAGCCCATCCTGGTAATGTTGTTCTAGGGCCGGCCAGTGGCGGCAAGTTGGGGGTCATGCGCTTCAGTGCGGCTTCAGGTTCAGGAAGCTCAACATGCGGTATCCTGAATCATCTTAGACTCGCCTGCTGTTATCGAGGGAGCTCTTAGTCCGTTATCCCTCGGAAAGGATTTCTACGGCCGCTTCCGATTCTTGGAGCCTGGTCATCCAGATTTCGAGCTTGGCCGCCTATACCCCTCCCTGATGGCTGTGCTTGGTGGGACACAGCTCTTCTTGAGCACCCTTGGCCAGAACAGGAGATACACTTACCCGGTGTGTGGCCTGTACCAGAAGCCGCACGTAGGATGACATAGAACGCAACTTGAACTCGAGATTGTAGGATTTCACCTGCAATGTTGGCAGCGTGAGGCAACTGGGGCGTGGCCAGCGATCCCCACACCTACAAAGCGCTTAACATCAAGCACGTCGTCAACTGCACCGTTGAGCTGCCATTTGTGGACGAGATCGCAGACTTCATGGATGCTCAAGCCCTCGCGAAAGGATTGAACCCTGAAGGGCCAGGAGAGCCCATGATGCAGAAGCCCATCAACGTGGAGTTGCGGGTGCAGCTTGCAGGACGCCTCCCAGCCGAAGGGCCCGAAGCCTTCCCAAGCTCCGTGCAGTATCCCTCTCCCCGCAAGAGTAGCCAGAAAAGAAACCCTAAACCCTAAACCTTAAACATCCCTAAACCCTAAACCCCAACAACCCGAATGGCCCAATGGCCATTTAATTGTGGGCTTCCGAAGAATTCTCGCTTTTGCCTGCAGGACGGCTTCGTGTGCCAGTGCAGGACGGCACCGACCAGAGGATTTGCGACTACTTCCAGGAAACTTGGTCATAGTTGGGCATCATTTTAAATTCTTAGGGGTACTTAAACCCAATAAAGAATATAGACCTAATTTTTTTAAATACGATCCCAACCATGGACCAGGAGAGCGTAGGCTTCTTGCGGCGGGCCGTGGACTCGCAGTCTGGACATATTCTGATCCACTGCAAGCATGGGCAAAGTCGTTCTGCTACGGTTCTGGCGGCCTTCATGCTTCACGTGGCAAGGCAGGCCGGCACACCGAAGACTGCACAAGAGGTGCTGGCTGAGCTCAAGGCGTGTCGACCTCGGGTGAGTCCGAATCTGGGTTTTCTGAGGCAGCTGGACGACTTTGCAGAAGCGAAGTGTGGAGTTCTTTGTCCTTCAAGCTCTCAGGAGCCTCAAGCAAGGCCCACTCCATCTGTTTAACCTTGGTCTCTGGTTGACCCCGTCTCTCGGCCCCGACCACGCTCCGGCACTGTACAGATGTAGGCGCTGCCGGCAGGTCAAGATTTGATACTCCTGCATGTTCACTAGATGACCCATGCTGCAGGTGCATCAACTCTTAGGCCAGCACGACTTGTGCAATCTGCTTGCGAGAGAAGTGCCAAGCACAACGCTTACTGGCCCGTTGTAAAATGACCTGTGCCAAAGCTCTGTTCAGCCACCGTCGGATGACAGTAAGTCGAAGTATTTCTTGAAGTTTCTCTAAGACTCTAAGAAAGGACAGCTCATGTGCAATTCGAGAGCAAAGCGGACCGACATTGAGCGCCTCAGAGTGATTGGACCGTAGCAGCCTTAGCGCATGTCTCCACCTGCAACATGGTTGTCTGTTTCAAAGAACTTGCATTTGTAGCTGTTGCATGCTTTCATTTAAGGAGTCGTGCGAATCTCGCAGGAATGCGCAGTCAGCAGGGCTTGGACATCAATTCTCAGCAACGTACACCCCCGCAGCACGAAAACCCCAGCACTAAACCCCACTTCAGGAGCATCATCACATGCACATATTATATAAGTATCATGCGTATGTGCACATATATGTAAATACATAGAGAGGTAAGTTGAGCACGATTTAAACAAGCCCTACCCACCCCCCACCCACCTCACCCCCCCAATGGACAACCTCGAATGCTAAAGCGATCATACACTACATCATGCATTCCCTGTATTCCCGTTCAAATGTACCCCTATCATAATTTCATGAACGTCCTAACTGCTCGAAAGTGCCTTCACTGGAAGCCAAGTAGCGTATGCTTTTGGGTAGTTTTAATCAATTTCCTGGCAGTTTGGAATATGATTGCCACTTCCTGGATCGGCAGTGTGCCATGGGTGCCAAGCTGATGAAAAGCTCAGGTGGTCAACGTGGAAGCTGGCAAAAACAAAGGCGAGGGGCTGGACATGTGATGTACACCATGTTCATGGTCTATATTTACCATAACTAGCTCTGAGCATGGTAGCGCAAGTTATGGTCTCCTTTTTCCTTGTTTTTTGTTGCTGGACGATGGTAGTGGATGGTAGAGGACCATGTGGTACAGCTCAGCTGGTTCTGTGGGTCGCAGATCAGTCGGCTCAAGTGCTTGAAACTGAAAGCGCATCGCGGCAGTGGGCCACATGTCGGTCGAGTGCAATAGGCTCCTGATGGTCGAAGGTGACAGTGAAAGCCAAGATGAGCCAATTGACACCAAGGCCACTTGGGCCTAAAGTTGGGTCACTTTGAGCGCAAGTGTGTGCGGTCTGCTTAGTTGTCTTCAGCTGCCACACTTCTTGCAAGTGTCAGTGTGTTTCTGATCACGCGTTTCGGCATTAACTGATTGGAATGTGAAATTGGTCACGCACAAGTGAACTAATAATAACTGATGGCGCTTTTCCAACTTGCAACTTTAGGCACCCGGAAGATCCCAGAAGGTTTCTCATTATCATAAGAAATTTGGATGAGCAACTTCACAGTTACGGCAATGAGCAGTTTCAACTCTCGAACTTCCGCTATCTCACAGATTCAACTTCCTCGCGTTTCAAAGATCTCACAGTTGGACTTAATCCTCACACTTCAACGAATTCACAATGCAATATCTCAGAGTTAAACTTCCTGACACTTCAACCATCTCACCTGCACAATTCTCATACTTAGCTACCTCAGTTTTAGCATCCATGATGTCAGAATGCGTGGCCGAATTGTTTTCTTTTCACCTCTTTAACTTCCAATTGTTTGGGACGTGTGTCAGAAATTAGTTGTTGATATCGAGAGAAAGAAAGCCTCGGGAGAACAAGTTGCAACTAGAAAAGGTTGCCGAGAGAAAATACATCAAAACACAAAACTGCGAACAGAAGGTGATGCCAAAAGCAAGAGATGACAGAAGGCTCACTGGGGACCTTTGAACTCAGCAAATCCACTGCGACCATTCCCGCATGGTGCAAAATTCTTAGATCGGGGAGCAGCAGCAGAAGATTTGAGGAGCTCACCACGCATACTGTAGGTTCTGCGACAGAAACACAACAAAAAATTGTGAGCAAGACCAAATTCGCCGAGACAATGCTGAAAGAGGTGTCGAGAGTTCGACAGCGTGCTTTGTTAGAAACGTTTTCCCATGTGTGATGTACATGACAATTCCCTTCCCCCGTGGCTTTCCTACACTGCCAACTTCTCCCATGACCTGTCCCCACCGATTTTTGGGTACTCACATGGCAAACATGACCTTGCTCGAGGCCTCCAGGCTTCGCACTCTGACGTGGCGATTTGTGGTTCTTTGTGTGTGTGTGTGTGTGCTTTGGCATACGCACTCACCACATACAGTTGGGGCCGGGCACGTCCCACCGAGAACACCGTGGCGACCGCCGTGGACAGCTCTGTGACTCTTTATTCCAGCGCCGCCAAGAACTACAAATGCGTAGCCGGTGGTTGCTGGTCCAGCGGACCAATGGACCCGAGCCCGAACACGAAGAAATACTTTCATGGTGGAGATGGATCGAGGGATGACTGCAGCAAGCTTTGCGGGTCTGACGCAACCGGTTGGTACCACCCTCGCGGGGACCACATTTACTGCTTTTGGGGCGGACAATGTAACATTTTCACCAACAATGGCCTCAATTGGGGGGGGCCTGTGATGGATTTTCCGTCGGAAACGTGCACGGTCCTGGTGTCCAAGGTTTCTGGCGGATGGGAATGGCTGACCTGCACCATGAACAATCAGGACTATAAGGTGGAAAAGGGAACCTCCAAAAGCCAAGATTGGGCCAATGAGCCCAATTTTGCAGGTGCGGCATCAATGGTTTCCAAAGCGGCAGGGTATGACATGGGAACCCAAACCTTCTCGGAGTCTATCGCAGTGTCCCAAAAAGTTCCATTGCGACCCAAAAAAGGGAAACAAGTTTGCCTTTGGCAGTGGACCATGGACATCCACGGGCCACCAAGCCTGGGAACTGTGCTTACCAAGGCGGAACATTTTCAGCAGACGTCATCGAAAGACCTTCGCCCAAAGTGCATCCCAGGCTACGTCGACCCGAGTGACCCTGATGCTCAGACATGCCTACATGGCAAGTATGCCTGATTCTGAGCGCTGCTTCCCAGATGCGCGGCTGATCATTTCTTCAAAGAGATTTTCCTTGGTATCACGAAGTGGCCCAGCTTTGCAGAAAACAAATACCGAAGGATGAAGGAAGTGTTTCCAGTTCATGATTTAGGAAGCGGTGTGCTTCGATCGTTGGCAAGGCTGAGGCTGAGGCTGAGCCGGATCCCTTGTACTGAGAGCCATTGAAAGTTCGTCCTGTCAAAAAGTGTGATGAATTCGCTGCATGGTGCTGTTTCTGAAATGTTCTGACATCAGGAACCCCGAAGTTGACACATTTCTTGAAGGGTACAAACGAATTAAGATGCTGCCGTAAATATTGAATTATTGCAACCTACACTTTGATTCCTTGTGTCTTGTGCTGCTCACATGGAAAGCCAAGAGTGTGAATGGACCGGCCTTCACAGATTTCCGCACGAAGTCCTGAGATCTGATCTTCCAAAGACTCTAGAGATGACTGCCTTCACAGGCGGCCTTCAACCTGGCGATGATGCTTTTGGCATCGTTTGGGGCTGCTTGAAGACTTATGTTCCTTGGACATCCTTGGACGTCCTTGGACGTTCTTGGAGACTTTATCCGATAGCCAGATGTTGACGGGATCCCATTGTTCGGACTCCTTGAACGGCTGGGTTTTATTGATTTTCACTTGCCATGAACGCCATTTGGTTGCGAATTGTACAATGTATCAAGGCATGAGCAATGTGGTAGAGAGTACATGCCATGACAAGTGCATATACAGGTATATACTTTGATACTTGCAAGTACTGTGACATATATATATATATATACAATGTGTGTGTATATATATATATATATTGTGTTCCACGCCTGACCCAACGGAGGCTCACGTGCAACAATGCAGCATGGACATACCTTGTAGCAATAAAGTTGACTTGCCTATCAAGTTGCTGGGCCCCATACTTTTAGGGGAAGCCTCAATCCACAGATGGCTTGCAGTGTCAAGTTTTGGGATTCCATTGCGCCTGCGCTGCAGGGCCCCGCATATTCTCTTCCACCGATCCTCTCGGTGCTGCGCTGATCTGACATGGTGCTGAGTCTTGTATGCATGTCTGCAGTGCTTGAAGGTTGTATGGAAGCTAGCAGACTTGAGGCTTGAGGAGGTTTTTCCTCGCAACATGAGATCGAGCTGGGTTGAGGGAATTGCCAGAGCGCGCCCCGAGCCCCTTTCCCTTCGTACTCTCCCCGTATTTCGGCTCAACAGGCAGGCTTCCATGTCTGACAGCTAGGCGCAACCCTGTCGCGTGGCTGTCCAGTGGCGGGTGGATTATATTTAAATTTCTAACTGAGCTCAGAAAGGCTTAGGGTTGTAAGTCAGCAAGATGGCCTACCCCCAAGGTCATCATCTAGACATGGCTTGGCCGAAGTGAGACCGTCACCGCGCGCGATAGGGTTGATCCACATCTCCATATGCCGGGTCTTGGGTCCCAAGGGGGACAGACCAAAACTTTAAACGCAGCAATGGAAGAGTCGCAGGCCAGCTTGCGTTGTGCTTGGGGCTCTAAGCGCATATGGGGGGGTGGGAATAATTTCTAACTAGTACTCCCTTAGGGCCCCTATATACATTTACAAAAAAAGCCCCGAAACCCTGTTCTAACTATTAAGGCCCCTATATACATATTAAAAGAAGCCCCAAAACCCTGTTCTAACTATTAAGGCCCCTATATAAATTTACAAAAAAACCCTAAACCCTAAACCCTAAACCCTAACCCTAAACCCTAACCTCTAAACCCTAATGCCTAAACCCTACTAAACCCTAGACCCTAGACCCTAGACCCTAGACCCTAAACCCTAAACCCTAAACCCTAAACCCTAAACCCTAAACCCTAAACCCTAAACCCTAAGTTAATTAGTCGACTGCTGATTGTTTGGAAGGGTGGCGACTATGCAGATCATAGGAATCTCCTCGGAACCATCTAGCCTGGGACAGGTTCTGAACATAAAGGCGGGCGACGCATTGAAGGACTGACTGGTGCAAGCTGGTGGTCATATTCCTCATTTTGGGCTGCAAATTGGATGATGCATCTTCGCAGAATTGCCACTGCTGACATCTGCTTCAAGGTAGGCTTGGCACCAATGCGTTTTGCATTCTAGCAACTTTGGTAATTTTGCAGGCATGGGTTTTCTCCTGGCAGGACTACGGCAGTGTATCGCCAGCAGGACAGCAGATTGCAAGCGTGCCAACCGTTTGCGCGCCTCGCCATCATGTAGCTCAGACGGTGGAGGAATACTTTTAGAGGCTCACTGTGCGGATGAATCTACATTTCGGTGATGCGCGCTTTTCATACCTTGAGCTCTTGATGAAATTGAACTGAACTCGAAGCAAGGACCATACCTTTCAGCCATGACCCGTTTGTCCCACCAAGATTTTTATCCTTGCCGTGGAGTTGTGCGAGCGCCTCGCCTTCTACACCTTCACGGGCACACAGGTGAGGTGATTGCCTGGTATTTGCAGGTTTGAGGGTGTGCAGGACGAAGTATTCTTATGGAGTCCGCTAACCTTCAGGCAGGGTGTTCAGCTGCGGAGTCAGTGCTTCAGAGAGGAGCTCCGATGTAACGGAAGGCGGTGCGAAGTCATCATGTGAGCTCGTGTCTTTCAGTTGCAGGAGTTCTTCTTGGAGAAGACTGGCTACTCTTTGGCGCAGGCCAGCGGGTCGTGCCTTGTGCCCCACGAATGACATCTAGATCTGCTGCATCTAGTAGTATCCCCGGAAATACTTTGATAAGAGGAGTGCGTGGCGAACGTACATGAGAATCCAAATGAACTCTGGTTGTTGAAGCTCAGCCTCAGCCCCAAACGCACATGTAACTCCCAGGCCCGAGGGCTTACGCATTGTGAAGCGTTCGACGTATACCCAGAGACTCAGACCATCTCAGACCCAAGAACTTTCGCACTGAATCATGGCCCAAGGCTTAAGAGACCCGAGCGTTCAGGGCTCACGCTTGGAGGGCTCATCGCGTGAATAATGGGGGAGGGGGGGTGGGCAACGCAATCAATCTATATGGGGGTTTGCGATAATAAGGGGCCCCGAATATAGACCCCAAGTAGTAGGACCCCCTTATAGTAAGGACCCCAACAAAGTACCCCGAATATCGTAAAGCCCCCCGCAAAACCCTAAACCCTAAACCCTAAACCCTTAATCCCTCTAATCCCTCATAATCCCTGAACATCGTAAACCCCCCCATGGACCCTTTGAAACCCTGCAACTTGATGCGCGCCAGGCCAATGCCCTCACGACGGCTATGTCCACCCTTTGCATGGCTTGGGCCGTCTTGGCAGGCCTGTATTTGTAGGGAGGGTTTAGGGTTTAGGGTTTGGGGTTTAGCATTTTCCACGCCCGTCCTCGCCGGGTCTCCTACCCCTGGAGCATCCCAGAGAGCATGCTGCGGAGTATCCCTGGAATGCCCGCCCCGCAATGACTCACGCAGAGTTCCCTGGGGTGCCTTGCCCCGGAGAAATCGAGTATCCCTGCAGCAGCCAACCTGCGAGAGAGTCCTGCAGAGACTCCCCGGAGAATGCTGCCCCCCAGAGAATGCCGCAGACTGCCCGGCCCACGAGAGTCCTGTAGTATCGCAAGGAGTCCCGCAGAGCATCCATGGAGTGTCCAGCCCCAGAGCGACACCGCATCTCTCAGAAGATATTTCTGGAGTGCACTTGAGTGCCCGCCAAAAATGCTTAGTTTCAGAATGGGGATGCTCCAAGCATATGAACACTTCGTAAGGCCGAGGGTGTACCCTAGCAGGCCGTGAGATAAATCATGCACGGGCAGCAGCCAAAGATCCGGTATTGGCAATATGCTCGGGGTGGCGGATGGTCGGGGGCACACAGGTGTTCGGAGCTCCAGCTGCGCTCCCCGCCTGTTCTCGCGCGCGCTCTCTTGTTCGCATGTCCAATGGTTTGATGGTGGGGCCATTCAATCGCCAGATAGGGATTTTTTTTGTGCCGAGAGGGGCACGAACAGCAGCAAAGCGCGTCGCAAGGCTCCCGGGGTGAACGAGTGAGGTGAACTGGCCATTCGCACATTATTAGTTTTTCAGGTGGTGCCCCACACATAGGGAAGCCCATCATGGATTTTGGACTGCAGGTTGGGTGGCCGATGTCCAGCTGGGCCGGTTCCGAACCATCATCATCTTCGGAGCGGCTTTGCAAATTATAGCTTGAGCGTTCTATTTTGCCCATACCAAGTCCTGCAAGCAGCACCGAACTTGCAGCAGTTCACTAACCTCCCATGTGCTTGCTGGAGTGAGTTTGCATCCCTGAGTTGGCGCAAGCTGGGAAAAGAATCGCACCATCGTAGCCCCTCGCTCGCCACGCATGTGGCCCTCGTCACCAAAACCTGCAAGCTCGAACGACTGGAAAACGCAACAGCTTAGGACAAGACTGGAGAAGGCAACAGTTCCTGAGTATGGTAGCGCGCACTTGCACACAACAAACCGGAACGACGAAGCTACAAGATGAAATCAGCAGTTTTCAGGAAAGTCTCAGCTGCCAGCGCGCTTTTTTCATGCGCGCCGAGAGCTGCTGAGTTCAGTGCATGCACTTGTGGTGTTGTGGAAGTGCCAGCGCTATCCGCGTGTGCAGCGTGTGCTTCTGGGGTGGAAGGGATGCCCTCACTGGAGTCCAGCGAGTCCCGTGCTGAAGGCCAACTTGCATGCCGCCTGCACAACCCCAAAGCCTGTTGGAATCACCATCCTTTGCTTAAACAAGCCCTAAACCCTAAACCCTATGACCCTAAACCCTAAACCCGTCACTCTATCTGGGCCCCTACCCAAGGTCATTTACAGCATAGGCGGCCTGGCGGCGACAGCTGCTGCAAGCCCAGCCTGGATGAGCTCAGGCCTCTATTTGCAGCCCGGCAGCTTGCAGGATTGTTTAAGGGAGAGGGGTTTAGGGTTTCGGGTTTTGGGTTTTGGGTTTCGGGTTTAGGGAGAGAAGGAGGTCGCTGGAATTCAGTTTCAGAGTCAGGGGATGTACCGTCCTCTCAAGCAACTTCTGCTTCACGAGCCGCAGACCAGTCAGTGCAGAAGCCGTACTTGGAAAAAAGTGGGCTGCCCTGCAAAAGCTGCAGGACATTGTCTAGCGGTCAGGAAGCTCTCATATATGCTTCAAGTGCACAGCCTAACGGGCCCTCAGTGCATCATTATGATACAACCATGCAGGAATTGAAGGGCCAGAGTCTCTGCTTCGGCAAGCTACTCAGGAGGATGACCTACCCATACCCAACATTTGCTTGACATCTTTAAACCCTAAACCCTAAACCCTAAGCCCTAAACCCTAAACCCTAAACCCTAAACCCTCTACCTTCGAGAGTTGGGCCAAGGTTAGCCTTGCTGGTCCTGGTGCCAATGGGCACTGCTGGCATCAAGTCCAACATCTCCAACTTTGGTGCTGAGCCGCGGCTTCACGGTTTAGGGTTTAGGGTATAGGGTTTAGGGTTTAGGGTTTGGGGTATAGGGTTTAGGGTTTGGGGTATAGGGTTTAGGGTTTAGAACTGCGGCACTGACCACGTCCAACACACAGCCTGCAAGGACCAGTATGACATGTCGGACCCGGAGCAGGTGGCAGCCCAGGACGGCAGAATTTGCGCTTGATTTCAGAATCAATCCCTCTCGGCAGAAGTGCGCTTGATTTCAGAGTCGATCCCTCTCCAATATTCAAGCTGACATCCCCAGGAGCAGTTCTTTCAGTGGTGCCCTGGCCCGTTAAGTTAAAGTCTCGTGATATGGGGTTTCAAGGTGATTTTGTGGATGGGTCAGGGATGAAAAGTTGGGGTGAATGATAAGCGACTGTAGCGGCAGCGAGCTTGTCCCCATAGTCACTGGCCGCACCGCACGAGCAAACGCTTAATGGCCTAATCATCGCCAATTTGAACGATTCATCCCAAGGCACAAGCACTTCGTTGCAATGCCAAATCCTACAGCCCACGAGCTTTGTAGTTTCGACTATAGGGACTAGAGCCGCTTCTCAATGCCGTTGAAAAGCCACCTAGGCCCCAAGTACAAAACCTTAGCATTCTCAGTTCTCATCCCTGGGTAACCTGAAGCCCGAGTCACGGAACTCGATCGCTCCAGCCCTCAGGCCCTAAAACCCCGAAGACTGAAGTGCCCAAACCCTAAACCCTAAAACCCTAAACCCTAAATCCTAAACAACCCTAAACCCTAAACCCTAAACCCTAAACCCTGATCCCCGGGTTCCGAGGTTTTACATGGCCATCAATGTCGGCTCAGCTTTTGCCTATGGTTTCCTCACCACCCTGGGCACGAATGGCGGCATTGGTATTTCGAAGGACCAGCATGGCTGCCAGAGTGCAGGGTTAGGGTTTGGAGTGTAGGGTTCTAGCTATATTCTAGCTATAGGATTTCGGGATGTTTGGGTGTGTCTCAGGGGATGGATGAAGCTGGTTGTTGGAAGTCCTGCGGAATCTGCTGACCCGGCGTATCAGTGTATCCCCGTGCACTCACTGCACGGTATGCAGGGTGTGACGTCGAAAAGCGGGCATCCGCAGTACCACACAGGCTTGAAGCCCTTTGCGATGAGAAGGCTGGTGAAGACTGGGAAGACATCAATCTGTACCTCACTAAGAGTCCTGAGCAAGATTCCTAGTGTTTGGGGACTGCACCTGTCTGCCCTGCCTGAAGCAAGTTACCCTTGCGCCAGTCTAAAGCACAGCAGGAGTACGGCTACTTTGCGGCCTACCTCCTGGCCTCTGCATGTATGGCAGCGGCAGCTCTCTGACCAGCAACCAGCCATGTTGCTCCTTTTTTACAAAATTGTAGAGACCCATCGTCACGAGGAATAGTGAGGAATCGGAAACCCTAAGCACTAAGCCCTAGACCGTAAACCCCCCATCTTACAAGCCGTAGAAAAACTAGGTAAGCCCTTGGGAGAAGCAAACCTTCCCTTATTCGGTGTTAGAAGGATCAGATTTAGGAAGATTGTTCGGAAGGCTATAGGGACCATCTTAGAAAAACGAAGCCAAAGCCCCCAAGCGCCCTAAACCCCAAACCCCAAACCCTGAACCCTGAACCCTGAAGCCCCACGTTTTGTTATTTCAAAGGTTCTGGCCTTCATCGCCGTGCGTGGACGTTATCGCCACCTGACAAAGTGGAGACACTGTAGGGTTCAGCAGTTTAGGGTTTAGGGTTTAGGGTTTAGAAGTTGGAGGGGCTCAAGCTTTTGGGGCGCGAAGTGGTTGAGGTTATTTGGGGTCTTATTTGGCTTCACAGTTGATGGTGTGATGCTGAGGCATCCTGGTCCTGTCTTCTGGGCAACACGCTCAAAGACATGACCTTCGTCTCTAAACGCTGCTTTGTTTTCCTTGTGATACTCCAACTCAGATGCTGCAAAAGAAGGACACTTCAGAACAGCCTCTGCAATAACTCCTACTCTAAATCAGTGTTAGGGATCCTTTTTACTTTTTGGGTTATGGGCTTTCTTATATAAATAAATAAATAAATAAATAAATAAATAAATAAATAAATATATATAAGCAAAAAGGATCCTTTTTTCTTCCTAGGGGAACAGGGATCAAGTACTCTTCTCAGCCTTTTTTTTTTCGAGGCACGTCGCCGCTGCTGCAGACCTCGGCCATGGCGGATGTTTGTCAGCTCGGGCCTTGAGGGTTTAGGGTTTAGGGTTTAGGGTTTCGGGTTTAGGGTTTAGGGTTTAGGGTTTAGGGTTTAGGGGAATTTTGAAGTGTGTGTTTTTTGGTGAAGCGCTACTTGGGCTTGACAGAATTTTGGCGGAAACTGAGAAATACATCTTCTCCCAAAGACGTGTGCCCACACATTGTGGTTTCTTTCGTTGAAACCTGGGATTAGATCGCCGATGCGATCACAGTCAAAGTCTTTTGCTTGGGCCCATTGGGTGGTTTAGGGTTTAGGGTTTAGGGTTTAGGGTTTAAGGTTTAGGGTTTTGAATCTGATGTCTTTTGACAATCAAAGTGTTTGCGTCGCTGCATGTGTCGATACCCTCAGTCCCGTGTGCAGTCCGTGGTCGAAATCGCTCTCCCGCCTCAGTCCCATTTAGCTTTGGGCACGGAATCTCTCGATGTCACCTGCGTTGGGCTAGTCTGACTCTCAGGAACCTCGTGCATCTTGTCTATTGTAATTTGCCCTTGGTGGCTGTTCTGTGCGGATGCTCCTCCTGAGATTAACTGTCGTCACTTTGGTCCTTGCACCCTGGTCCGAAAGACGCTGCTTGCCTTGCCACAATTTACCATTTTTGAGCGCTTATCAAAAGAATTTACGGATGCAAAGAACTAAAGGAAAAGAACCGCGCTGCTGGTGTATTTTAAAACGCCGCTAGGTGGTGTGGCTTCTGGCATTGGTGGCTTGGGAGTTCTCACAATTGCACTTAAGCAGTTGGTACGACTCTGATACTTCTCCACCTCACGTTCACGAATTAAACTTGGAGCTTGGCCTTAGAGGCTCGAAGGAAGCCCAGCAAGAGCATCGTGAAGCTTTATCACGTTTTGTTGGGTCGAGATTCGGCTTAGGGTGTAGGGGGTTGTGGAAAAGATTGTCAAAGGGTCATGCCTCTCAGGCCCTCCGTGCGACAGCCAACCAATCCTCGAAGCTCAATGGGATGTTCCCCCTTATACTAACAGTCCTTAAGAGGGATTTTGGTACCCCCCCCCCCCCCCCCCCCCCCCACCCCAGTACCCTACCCTAAACCCTAAACCCTAAACCCTAAACCCTAAACCCTAAACCCTGAACCCTAAACCCTAAACCCTAAACCCTAAACCCTAAACCCTAAACCCTAAACCCTAAACCCTAAACCCTAAACCCTAAACCCCAATCCCTATGAAGCAGCTGTTAGTATCAGGGGGAGCGTCCCAAGATAAACCCTGCAACCCGGAGCCTGGCCCTGAACAAAGAGGCGGGTGTGGAGGGAGCTGGGGAACGGCTCTGGCATGGCCAAGGCGCACACAGCGACAGCACAGGGATTGCAGGGTTTCGGGTTTAGGGTTTAGGGTTAGGGTTTAGGGTTTAGGGTTTAGGGTTTAGGGTTTAGGGTTTAGGGTTTAGGGTTTAGGGTTTAGGGTTTAGGGTTTAGGGTTTAGGGTTTAGGGTTTAGGGTTTAGGGTTTGCTGTGATAGGGCGTAGATGCTGTGAAGGTTAGGTTTCGGAACAAGCTCGAAAGCTCCGTGAGGTGCGAAGAGCAGCTTTGGCCCGATTGTGGAGGGCCATCTAACACTTTTCTCCCACCCCACGCCGTCCAAGGCGGCAAAGCCACCCAAACCTATTCCTTTTAGGGTTTAGGCCCAAACTCTCAGAGAACAGTCCACTTCTAAAAATTTTTCAGTTTCATGAGGTTCATTGCGTTCGGGAGTCAAAGGAATTGGGGGGTCGGGAGGCAGTTTCAGGGAGGGGTGCAGGAGGTGCCAGCAAGGTCTCGAAGGAAAGGGGCCCGCGAGCCAGGCAGCCAGGGCAAAAACTGATTTGGCCTGGGCCTGAGTGAGGCTTCCTGGTCCTTTTTTGGTCCTTGGGCACACTGCGGTGAGGGGGGACCCCCTAGGCTGGGGCTCTGGGGTGTACCCCCCCCTAAAAAGGCCCCAGGTCATGATTCGAGTTATAGTAATTTCAGGGAGCAGTACTGGTCCCGAAAAGAACGTGTTCCGGCACCGGTCCCATCGTGGGCGCTACCGACCCCCATGCTGTGGGAGGCGGGCGAGCGACCTGGGTCGGCTTGTGCCATCGAGGTCAAAGGCTTAAGTTCCGCTCCCCCAACGTAGAAGGGCGGCCTAAACCCTGAGTTTAGGGTTTAGGGTTTAGGGTTTAGGCTACTGCAGCCAAGCTTCTTGATCTTGCTTGTGCTTCTTCGTTCTACGTAGCCAGCCAGAATGAGCAAGGCAGGAATGTACTACAACAATCGTATTTCTGCGTTAGGTGTTTTTTGCGATGCAAGTCGTGGTTGATTTTTTGGTGTTCACATCTTATCCTGCAGTCGCATATTGCCGCTTGCAGCAGCAATGCTGCCCACAAAAACAAGTTGTATCGTCCAGTGCTAAACGCACAAACACACAGAACGCCTACCTCTGGGTTAGCATGGGTTACAGTACTATCACTGTAGCTACTTTAGGCGAGCGTTTCATCTAGTGCTGTACATCACAAATTTCGGGGTGACGCATGTGACGAAAGGGTGCGCATGCAGCATCTGCGTGACGACTGTTGCTTTGACTCCCTGACATGTTACACGCAGAATCTCTTCCAGCTGTAGATGCTTGCAAAGGCCTCATGTAGAAATCATGTGTGGTCAGCTTGCACGGGTCAACTTCAATCACCGAACTGACCAGCCGTAGTGATGTGCCCATGAAGATCTCAACCCCAAAGCGCATCCCAACATGGTAAGCCACGGGACTTCCAGGCGAATCAAAGCCGGGCCAATGAATGCAAACATGTGCTGGGCATTTCTCCCATGCTTTGAGGGGCCATCTCGTCCAGTATTTCAGGTTTAGGATATGATTGAAGGTTTTTTGGCTCAAGGGCTTAACCTTCCTTCAAACCCCGCCGAAAGAGCACTTTTTGGGGCAGGCCTGCGTGACAGGAGCCTTCCTGAGTGCGTCGGCTATTGCTGCCTGGTGGCAGAGGTTGAGGATTGAGGGTCTATTGCGATATGTTGAAGCTTGTGCAAGGTTCGAGCTGTATGGTTAAGTTGCAATGCGTGAAGAGGATGTACAAGCGGCTGATGTTCTTAACCCGAGAAGAAGTCATGTTGACCCCTGCATTGCCCATGCGTCTGCCAGAAGGTACTTCTAAATCTTCACCCTGAACCCTAAGCCCTAAACCCTCTACCCTAAACCCTAAACCCTAAACCGCAATGTAGGAAGGAATTCGAGGGTTCGTGGCGTCTCATTCGGGGAAGCTGGCGGTGTCGCCCGCCTCCATGGGCCTGCCCCTCCCCTAGCAAGAGAAAGCAACACTCGATGCCCAACACTATGGGCCTTACACCCTAAACCCTAAACCCTAAACCCTAAACCCTAAACCCCTAACACCCCTGGACAAAGGACGCTTTTGTCCCGACATTAAACATTGTCGACTGTGCGACCGGCCCCGACTTTACATTTTCTGCGATGGCACAGAAAGCGCTGCATGCCTGGAGACTTGAAACGCCCCAAACTTGTCATGCTGTAAATTTAGGGTTTGGGGTTTGGGGTTTAGGGTTTAGGGTTGAGGGTTTAGGGTTTAGGGTACGCTTTCAGGTGCTCTCCGTGTTTAGCGCGCTGATGCAGCATGAGATGCTCGGCACCAGGCCCTGCGCACCCCTAGCCTTCGACTTGCATGTAGGGCTTTGCCGTCTTCTTTCATTCGGAAGGTTGACAGCGTGATTTTGCGGAGGGGCCCCCCTATTTCTAGGGTGGCCACGACGACTTAATGAGTGATTCAGGGGATGGGCCCCAAGATCTCTGATAGCCGAAGCAGGGCGAATTGGGGGTTACGAAAATACAAACCCTTAATACAGATCCCCCGAATACAATAATTCCCTTTTATCACTATCCCAAATAGTAAGGTACCCCCGAATCGCGTAGGCCCCCAATATCCTGCCATGTTTTCATGGCGCCAAGGATGTCGAGCTCGGCAATTTTAGTCTCCTGACAGCTTTGGGCCAGGCTGTTCCCAGCATGTTGGGCTGGGTGTTCTTGGCACGGTTCGAAGTATTCGGTCTTTGAATCCTTACACTGCAGCTGGGAAAAGTGTGAGACCCATGACATGTTTTCTTCCTGTGAAGTTTCACGTTGGTTTCGGGATGCGGCTCGACGCGCTGTGTTTGCATGTAAGCCCTACACCCTAAACCTTAGACCCTAATGTGGCAAGAGCTGAGGCTTTGTCGACCACCACCTTCCTCTTTGCTGCCGGAGGCGGGGTTTGCAGCGCCTCTGCCACTTGCCCTCTCGGCGTTGCTCGGCATTTTGTTTTCGTCATTCTTTCCGTCCAGCGCCTGAACAGGATCCGTCCTCATTATTCGCTCCTGCGAGTGTCCTCAGTGGCGGCTTGTCTCAACTTTCGAGTTGTTAAGGCGTTTGCTTGTGCTGAAAGGTGTGTGAAAAGCATCTCGTGATTCCTGTTGGTGCAAGCCCTGATGCAATACTTGTGCCAAGTTCCAGTACAGGAATGTCAGGGAAGACCCACGTCACACGCCTTCAAGAGTGAGTGTACCAATCTGTGTGCAAAGACATTGGCTCGCAATGCACACCGGCATGCCTTGAGATCACATATCACTTTCCTCTAACTCATTCACATGGCGAAAGCTCGCCGAGGATCTCGGACGCAGACCTGCCAGGAGTTAATCTCAGCTCCGAAGATGCGCGTGGCTTGGTCCAAGCAGAAATGGGCTCGTCGCGGGGTTTGACGGCTGCATGTTGCAATGCCCGCCTTTTGCGCAGATTCGTCAGCTGGACAAGGCTCTGGGATCTTCGCCCCGATCCTCGAATCCTCTTTTAACGTTTCATGAACTGCAACGCTCAAATCGACCGCTAGTTTCGTGGAATTGGCACCTGCTTTTTCTTGCTGTATCGTGATAATGGCACCCACCCATCTCGAGGTGGTTTCCTTCGCCTTTTGCCAGTCATCATCACCGCGCAGCTATCTTTTGGTGCAGTTTACAACTGCATCTCGGAGCAGCTTCCAGGGCTTAGAGCTTATGCGGATTGGGTTCAAAACAACGGCAACTCGAGGTGATGGAGCAACATTGCAATCAGGACTTGCTGTTCTTGGCATTGTGAGAGAAGCACTGTGCCGTAGCTGCTTTGCAGGTTTTAGGCTTGCAGGGGGCTCGGGACCTACTCCAGCAGAAAGGCCGCCTTGTTTTGAGGCTTTATGTTGAAGGGTTTGTAGTCAGTCGACGGAATCATTAGGCGTTCCTGAAGGTTGTGTATAATTCGACTCGGCGGTAACAATGCCGGCTGAACAATCTGCAAGCCAACATTGCTAGCAGATTTCCCATTGGTACTCGTGTTCGCACCCTTGATTTTTGACCCAGGCACTGTCAACTGTTGCTGAATTGTTCTTGGCAATGGAGGCTGCAGTTGCGGTAGGCATGGTGTACTTAGTCGCATCGGAAATTGAAAGAGAAACGTAGCAAGCTGATTGCCGCAATTTACGTGTTGGGTCTGAGGTATGCAGTACAGCTTCCAGCAGCAGGCGTGCC